GCACTTTACACCCTGCCGAAATATGTGTATATATTTATGACACATATACACATATCTCCCCAAACCCTATACAATCCCTATTTGCCCCTAGTATGTACTGTACTGCGTATCCGAGACCATCTCCTGCGGCTCCGGGGCAAGCTGCGGGCCGCAGTCAGCTGCTCAGAAGGGGGAACAAACCCTTCCCGCAATATTATGTCTCGTAGGTATGATAGAAGGCTGTAATAGGGGCTGATACATACCAAGGAGCAAGGGATTAATCTTGTCCCTCTCTGCCCTGAACATCATGATGGACATGTTCGTTTACTATGTCTTTTGAGGAAACGTATCAGAGACTGGGGCGGCGTAAGGAATGTGCCCCAACTAGGGCCTCTTGACTCTTTGCGCGCGCGCTCAGGTTTTTGGTGATCTGTTCGGCCAATTCAGGTCTGAAATCATTCTCGTTGGTGCATGCAACAGAGTCGTCATGACCAACATAGCAGTCCCTTTTGCCCTATAGCTCGCAGGAAATTTCCAGGCTTGGGCTCTATAAGTATGACTGATGTTCGTATGTGTGCAGGCCCCTCTCATTGAGTCTGCAGAACGGATACTGTTCTCTGCTAGTCGTCCCAGCAGCTGGCGTTGCAGTTCCTTGGAGAAGCTATGCCCGTCCTTATTCCAACCTCGAGGTAGCAACCATGGAAATGTCATTTCGTAAGTAACGGGCTGTAGGAGAAGCTGCTCAGGTCGTTGCTTCATCAAGCCTTCATCAAGGAGATGGAGCCGGCCTGGGCCTTGCCGGAAGTTAGCGAGGCACTCGCAAAATGTTTAGGTCTTGATCACTTCAAAGACCTGGGGCTTCATGAGTAACACGGGTCAGAAATCCAAAATCCAAACAGCGTGGAACAAGCACCCAGGAACAGCTCGTAGATTGTCTCCACTTGCGTGTACAGCCGGGCATCACCTTTGGTGACGGCTGGACAGGAGTTCTGGAATGCTCAAGCCGTGGCCACTCCCATTTGGCTAGCGGCTAGCGTGCTAGGTACCGGAGTCTCGCTCCACCTGCTTTCGTTTATTCTGCACAAGAGGTGTCCAGTAGCACCTGGCAGGTCCTTGGAGCTTGGTCATGCTGCAATATTACATATTTCTTCCCCGTTGGGAATTGAAGCGTGCATTATTGCGGTGCCTTGTGTAACAAAATCTTGCACGGTATGAAGTGCACAGTCCGGTATGCACTGGGAGGGACGCCAAAAAAAGCTTTAAACTTCATGACTCCTTTCGACAGTATGGGACTTTGAGCTTGTCAGCATTTTGTTATAAGGCAGCCAACAAATCAAGATGAGGCCACCGTCCTGCACTTCAGCTCGGCGGAACGCCTCGTGATTCTTTCGCTGCATTCATTTCGTGAAGCACCCCTGCATATGCTGCATCCACAAGATCAAGCTGATGGTTCAGGGGTCAGGGCGAGGTTTGTTGAATTAAGCCGCGCAGTGAGCGCGTGACATGTAGAAATCCCTGTGCCTGAAGCCCTGCCCGTGCCATATGCCCTGCTCCACGTGGCTTTGAGATCATGATGAGGATAGGGACAAGTAGTTCTTGTCCCCTGCCGCAATTTCACACTTTTAATGCCATGCTCATCATCTTTGCAGATTTTGGGTTCTTGCCATCGAAGTACGTAATCCAACAGTTGGAGAGCCAAGGAATGATCGGCTTCTCGAGCAGAATGAGGTGACACTGCATCGTGATACCTATGGTCAGATTGTACGGTAAGAGCTGGTTTCCTAAGCATGCAATAGGGCATTTGAGTGGACAACCCCCATGACTTGCCTGAAGATTTCTGCGTCATGTTTGAAGAGGGTTTCTTTTCATTTCAGTCCTATGCCAAGACCCAACGGGGAAGAACAATATGAGGCTATATATCAGAGTGTTGAACGGTATCCTAGGTAATAAGGAACACAATTTGTGAAGTAAGGGCATAATCTTACGGCAGCATTTGCCCAAACGTCCACTTGCCGGTTGTTAGTGTCCGTATTGTAGCCCCTGTATCCCTACAAAATGGCACTGTTGAAGAAGGATACGACTGGTTGTCAATTTCTCGAAACAATCCCTGCCTGATCAGTAAGTATGTCCGCAGTTGACATGCATTGCCTTTGCACAATCCGGCTCCCCCGTACAATTTAACCCTAAACTCTACACCTTGACCCCTAAACCCCAAGAATCCTACTCAACAGATAGCAAGTCCAGGGCTGCATCGCTCCATGCGATGTCAGTTTCGACCAAGCGCGATGGTGTGGCTGTGGGCAAACTGCGCCGAACAAGGACTTCAGGTCTTAGGGTTTAAGGAATACTTGGCAGGCGATGCGAGGCCTGCTGCCAGGTAGTTAAAATTCTGCATGTGCAAAGGCAACATCATGTGCATCATGGACAATGAATATAGGCATATTGGTCTACCGATGGTTTGAGCTTCCATGTTAGGCAGGTGTGAGAGTGTAGGACGGGACCCTCTATGACATGGCTATCCGCCGCGCTTCCGGGTTCTACTTGCAGGAAAGGTGATGATCTGGTGCCTTGATTTGCTGAAGCTGAGCTTTCAAACATTTTCAGACAAAGCAAGGTTTAGGGTCTGAGGTGTGGACTGCGATTTGATGTTTGCTGGGTACGTGGCACTAGCGGAGAACGCTCCTCTGCTGAGGGCCGAGATCCAGCTTTCGAAGGCAAATGGCAGATGCATCGGCAGCTTTCGAGGGAAAGTGGCAAATGCCTCGACAGGCACCTGATGAGCAATTGCTGTGTCACGTATACCGCAGCCAGTTTGACTGATGTCCATCATCAGATTTGCCGTGGGGTCTTGCGGTAGGCATGTCAGGATGTTTCCAGTGGTCATGCATTATGTCTGGTCCAAAACTATTCCAAAGTCTAGGATGCTCTGACCCTGTTAGCCTGCAGCGTGTGGGTCACCAGTTCCAGGTTGACAGGGACAGAACTTGTTTTTCGGCACAGGTCCCTCTGGTTTGTTTTGAGGGTGGAGCAAACATCTGCGCTGCTACAGAAGATGTTTAGACCTCACCAACAGGCCGAACTCCACGCCGCCGATGCCGGGCTTTACCGCCTGCAAATGAGGTCGCCATGGCAAGGGCCTCAAAACTTTCAGGACACGTGGATGCAAAGTTGTTTGTCATGTTGCCAAAGGACTTTTCAATTCGCAAAGCTGGACGGTAAGATCTTGACGTCTATCACGGATGGGGGAAGAACGCAATCTACCTTCCGAATGTGGTGCCAGAGTTTTCGAAGGTGTTACTACACATCCTGGGTACAAGCAAACGCTGCGGCTGATCATTATGACTTCAGCCGCTGCGAACGATACCTCACCTACGGCCCCTGCAAGTTGGTCCTTCAGGTGGACGTCTCGAATTATACGGACACCTGCAGAACGAACTTGTAGAAGTCGGACTCCTTCGTCGATGGGGTCGTGCACGAAGCTGCGCATGGCAGGTGCACTCTGTGCGGCAGATGTCTAGGCCTCGCCACGAACAATCCACACTCTACGTTGCCGGTCTGCAACTAGAACCAAGTAATTCACTTTTGTGGATGGGCAGGTCAATGTAATGCACACCTTTCTTGAACTTGGTGTGGATTTACATGGCACGTGATTCATCTGCATTCCGTTGCATTCCCTTCTGACTCGCGACCCAGCCAGGTGCAGCCAATGTCCTCGAGGCTCGAGAGGCCGCTTTCGACACGAACTCAGCCAGATGAAGCGCAGGCTCTTTGCATGAATGCTGACCTGGCCTGCTTTGCCGCAATTCCGAATCGAACCGTGTGTCTGCAGGCGACGTGGATGCCGTTGAGCCTGCCAAGGCGAGTGCTGGAGCAGGCTGAAAAATGCATCAGGCTTGCAGTGACTTGGCTTTCATGATGTCTTGCGGGCTTATCGCATTTGGCTGAGTTGCGCGTGAGACCATCGTCCAGCTGCCGGATTCTGAGGAAACTCCACCTAGGAGCGCAGTGAGATCATCAAGACCATCGCTCGAAGAAATGCTGAGTTTGCGAAGGTTGTCACCTGCCATCTGCCATGAGCACATGTTGGCCGTTGCAACAATGGCACTGTTTGTCAATCGTAGTCTGGACATGTGAGGTTGAGGAAGCTGTCAGCTGCCATGAGCAGATGCCGACTGCGGCCGTGTAATTGAGATGTTGTCATGCGACTTGGGTGGGGAATCGCTGAACCAAATTCAGAGATGCGACTACCTCGTCAGCTCCCGTGGGCAGATGTTGGCAGTGGTGGCAGTGTAGAACACGCAAGATTGCAAAGGCGTTCAGCTTTGTTGGTCAATCGCCTCTGGGAGAGAGGGGTTCATCTGGGGCCGGGAATGGCAACAAGGTCGAAAGCATGCCAAGACCAAATGCTCCATGCAAACCCTGCATCTCCACTTCTGCGTACACCTTGCTTAAAGCTTGAGCAGAAACCACGAGAGCCTGAGCTTCGTGCTTGCATCTTGCTTGGCCTTCTAAGAACCGCTGTGCAAGGGCGCACCTATGCGCAGCTAGTCTAGAAGTGCGCCGTGTTTCCCTCTCACAAGATTTCTTCCAGTGTCTTAGGCCGCCAGAAGTATTTCTTGTTCTTAAGATGCTGGAGGGCTGAGCAATACATCGAAGTTACATGCGCGTCCCGCCTCGAACACATATCTTCTGCTCCCTTCGCAACTTCCTGTTTGGCTCACAGTGTATCCCACATGTGGGTCGATGAGCGCTGCGAAGTAGCAGTGCTTCGGCCGCTTGGCAGGATTTGGTCCATGAGGATACTGGCCCAGAACAGTGAGTCTACGCAGCTGTATGCTCCAACCAGCATTCCGCGGCTAGCGCGTGGACATACTGACATGTCAATTATAACGTGAGTTTACGCCCAGAGTCTTGGAGTCTTGGTGCGGCAGGAGACTTTGGAAAACACAAGTTGCTTCAGCATGTCATACTGTTCAACATGTATTCCCCACCTAGCTCGCTGTTGCAGCCTTCAAGGCCCCATGCGGAGGCATGCCGACATCTACGTCGTCGGCATCTCCCAGGAGAGCTCCTACTCAGAGCTGCTGAGAGCCAGAACACAGGATCCCCGTATACTGAACGCCAAGTATCGTCTCCTAGGCTACGCAGGGTGTGCTGTAAAAGATGGGCCCTTCTGGCCTATCATGATTTTTTGCCGCAAGTAACGCGCTGTTGCTGCCGCAGGGGGGCGAGGAGGCGGATCGCCTCCTGGCGAGGCGCCGGGAACCGATTCAGTTTCCTCACAAACATACTTCAGCTAGGCGGCCAGGACAGATTTCTTGTTTTCATTTGGACGGTTATTGAAGGGAGATGCTATTGTACGGGGCCTAGCTACCAGAAACATGCGCGGCGATGTTCCTGCAAAAGTTTCACACAAGTTTTCAGGAACTCAGAATAATTCATGTAGTCACACCGGAGTCTGGAGTCTTCACACCGCGGGCTCATCCCTAGCCAGCTTGCGCTGTGACAGATATTGCCAAGAGATTCAGTAGCTAAACGCTCCGAGCTGAAGGGCCTTTATCTTCAGCTCTCTCCCGTTGTGGTTCTCGCAGGCGCCTGGCCGGCACCCTGGAACGCGGCGGATTTAGCTGCGCAGGCGCTATACCAGCTGCATGTTCTATGGAACTGCGAAGTATGGAGCGAGACACTCGGACAGGGCAGTTGGAATGTGGCACTCCAACCCATGATGGGATTCTCGTGCTGACCTCCTTGCCTAGTTGCATCCGATGCGCATCATGCTAGCTGTTGCTAGTGCGATGGGTGAAGCTGATGCTCATTATGCTGGCTTTTGGGGGCGGATGAGTGGAGCTGCTAATGCTCGCGCCACTGGGGGTGGGCTGGAAAGCTGCAACTGATGCTTGCGATGCTGCCTGTTGCAGTGACATGGGTGCAGCCGATGCTTGTCCTGGCAGCTTGGGGGGTTTGGAAGCTTGTACTGTACTGTGTGATATGCATAGGCCACCGCTTTGTCAGCAGCCGCTTGTAGCAGATGTAGCGGGGCAGAAATTCGCCCAAGTTACACCAAGACCTCGCCGAGGAACCCCGGGAGCCCCCAGCTGAAAAGTGCCAGGCGATCACCAGGCTTGTGAGGACGAGCCGGCCAGGGTCAACATCGAGGATCGCCGAAATAGCTAGAAAATTTGGCATAGCAGCACTTAAGCCCAATGATTGACTCATAATCTTTCACCCAGAAATGCGTGTAATGCTTGATGCAGAAATGCTAGAGGTAGAAGCAGGGCCAACATCCCACCTCTGCCATAGCCTCGCCAGAAACCATTTCCAAACTAACTCTTGCTACCCAGTTTTCAAAGCGGAGAAGAGAAGTTTTGTGTGAGCCAGGAGACCACTGAATGTCGTTGCGTCTTCTTCGTCATATCACCAGGCCAGCAACTTTGAAAAGTTGATTCTGTCCGGGAAACAGCAATCCGAAGTTTTGCATGCGAGTCGCTCTTGACCCACCACCATTTCTGACAACTGCACGCAGTTGACCTTTTGCCCTCGCAAAGATATCCAAGTCCGTGAGGCCCAAGATGTTTCAAACAGGGAACTTGGGATGACTGTGTGGTCAAGCCTATGAATGAATGTCTGACTCCTCGGACAAGGTTTGCAATGCATGCAGCTCCATCCGATATTTCTAATCTGAGAAGGTCCCATCCGCAGTTTGTTGGGCTAGTGTTGGAGCGTGAGATCAGAACCCAAGTTGTAAGAACTTCATGAGTAACCCTACTGATACGTACAGGTGTGAAGGCTCGCTCCTCAATGTCTGATGCTTGGACCTCCAGGCCTTGATATCAGACAAAGAGAAGCTTGCCTGGGAGCTTTGGCTCTCTTTCAGACAGAGCACAGTTCAGGACCTGCAGTGCTTGGCACTGGTCAAGATGCCTCAGCGTGATTTCTGTGAGAGTGAAAAATGCATTTGCCGCGGAGGCGCTCCCGTGGACGCAGCGGTCGTAGCGCAGTTGAAAGGGGCGGCCAGCGCCGGACGAACGACAAGGTCCTGGTTTGGAAAGAGGGGTTCCGGGAGGATAACCCTGTATATGAGATCAAGGAGTGGAGATGCTACAGTAGCTGACTGATCGACACATCATTCTGGAAATTCATGCAGCTGTGAATCGAAACTCTGGGTTTGTAACATGCCTGGGAGGCCATTTCGCGACATGGGCTTGTAAACAGAATTGCCTCGCTTGCGACAAGCAGCTTTGTCACAAACCCGTTTCGTGTGGCATGTGTGTACCAAGCATTTGCAGCAAAGATATGTAGCCATAGGCCACAAAAGAGGGGGGCGGAAGGCCGAGGGCCCACGACAATGTGGGGATTGATCCACAGCCCGTGGGTCCACAAGTGTCGTTAACATTTGTTTTCTGGTCCTAGGCCCCAGGCTGGACGCAACCCTTCCCCTGAACATTTCTTATTTGGCCTCAGGGACACATAAGCTTTTCAACAAGGCCAGCAGGATCGTTGCACCCTGTCAGGTGCATCTATGAATCCGGGCCGAGCGCCTGCCAGGAGCCCCCCAAGAGGTTTCCTTTCCTAGACGTTCGCAGGCTTTCATTGCTCTGGGATTTGCTGGGTGTTGGAGTGCTGGGTGCTGAACTTCGGCGACTCATGCGACTCCGGATGAAAGTTATTTGCCAGGACCTTTCTGAGTGGGGCTCCGCCATCCCGGCAGCCTTCCTCCGGCCAGCTGTGCGCCCCGGCTTTTGTGGCTTTGGGCTCGTGACGCATTAGGGGTGAGCAAGCCTCACAGAAGGTTTCCGATTTCCACTCGGCTTTTGATTTAGCACGCTGTTCTGTAGGTAGTCAGGTAGTCAGCCATGGAGGAAAGATCCACGGCAGAACTTATTTCATGTTGGCTGATGCTTTAGTCCTGGCCTTGGCAGATGCCTCACACATCTCACACTCAGCTGTTCCATTGAGCAAAGTAGTTGCAACGCCCAGGCCCATCTCTCGCTTCTTTCCGCGGGTTTCGGAGATTCTCGTTCTCGCCGCCGCACGCGAGGCTAGAGCCAATATGATTCAGCATCCCTTGCCGCACAGCCTTCCTTTTGAGGAGCTGCAGCGCGCAGCACCGCGGCAGGCCCACGCAAGAAAGCCTGAGACAATCCACTCGCAAATGATTAGTTCGAAGAAAGCTGACGCAATGTAGCTTGTGGTTGCCCAGGCGGAAAACTTGCGAGTCATGTGATGGGTGTATGCGGAATCCTTTCCTCTGCAAAACCTCGGCCATGGGCGAGTAGGGAATGAAGAGACACCATTGCAGCTTAGGGCCATAGAGCCTTTAAGGAGTCTCTTGCGGAAGCGGCTAATTTCTGATGATCGTAGTAGTTATTTGAATTTCGCATCAGGGAAGCTTCGTGTGCAACCTCGAACCCCCTCACAGGTAGAGTCGGATGGACAAGCAGACTTCATACGAGGCCGACCCAAGCCTTGACAGGAGTAAACAGAGCTTGGCATAATTACATGAAGTACTGAAGACTGAAGCAGCACCCATAAGCATAGCAAGGATGATCGGTTCAAGGAGGACATTGGATGAAACTAGCATGAACCTGATGACAACAGGTGTGTGGCCGTATTGGCAAGAGCCCTTTACGCCGAGCACGGCAATACCCATCGTACCAGCCGCCATCAGGGCCAAACTACCACTGACAGTGTCGTAGCCTCTTGACAAGAGAGTGAGTAGTGTCGGCAGCAGCAGTAGTCTAGAGTAGCCATAGTGGCGGCGGTGGTGGTCGTGGTCGTGAAACACAAGTCAGAGCAATGTTTGTACTGACCAAAGCTACGTATTACCACCATCAGCAAAAAAAAAGTATGGTTATTGCCATGTTATAACGGAATATAACTGATGTCTTGAATGTGCAAGCGAGGGGAAGCGCATCTGAGCAGCGGAATTTTTTACGGTAGATCAATTATAATTGCGTCACACAGAAGCTCTTCAAATCTTCGCCCGAAAACGAGATTTTCCTGTGCGCGCGGAAGCTCTGCAGAAGCATTTCTTCGCGGAAGGGCTTGCGGAAGCTCATGTTTTTAGAAACTCCGGCTATCAACATGCAAGTCGAACCAGACCTAGAGTTAATTCCTGCGGCTTAACCACAACCTTGAAGCCCTGAACGAAGCCACTAGAATGCTTTCAGGAGCATGTCTTCCTGGGACCATTCATGCAAGTTATCCGAAAAGCATCTCTGGGCACGCTACGTTCGCGTTAGCTCGGCGGACGGTCCGCGGAAGGTCCGCGGAAGCCCGAATTGCAACACTGGATCCATACCCCTACCTTTGCTTCTGGATGAATCTTCTGAGTCTTCCTCCTCCTACCAGCTCCAGCTCCAGTTCCTCTTCGTAGCCCTGTGCCGCATTGCGCAAGAGCCCGCGCGAGCGATCGCGAAAACAAAGTCAACAGCAACTCAGGTTTTCCCAGAAAGGTTACTTAAAACCAAGTATTGCAGAACTTGCGGCATGCCCGAAATCTGGTAACCTTATAGAATCCCATGTGTTCCCCTTATAACCTTAATCCATGCATAATCCTCTAACTTGCTTCTATAACCAGGCATCAGCCGAACAGAGCGTGTGCAGAAATCCTTGCGTAGTCTTCGAAGCCCTTTTGCGGAAGCAGATCCCGAAATTCAGCCGAAAAACCTTCGCGGAAGCAGCCGCGGAAGGCGGAAACAAACAAGTTTACAAGCGCTACTCTCGGAAGGGCTTCGCGGAAGGGGTAGTTTCTGTAGAGAAGTTATTTAGGAATAAAAACCAAAACTCATTTGGCTTGCCAGGCTTCACGGCAGATCCTGGCGGGCGCTTCGCCGGGCCTGCACGCCGCTTTGAGCCAGAAAGCATGCCGACACTTTCTGGGCTTCGTTTTTTCTCGGTTGGCACGGTGGCCAGCGGCTGGAGAGTTTCAGGAAACATGCGTTGAGTTCTGGCAAGTGCTGTACGCACCCCAAGAATTCCTGGCCTTCAGCAAATTCCAACCAAGAATTGGGGTAGGGAGCATGCCCGAGTAGCATGAGAGGCCGAACTAGAGGTACAATTGTTCCACGAGGTTCGGCCCAACATTTTGAAACGCAAAGCTTTGATCGTGTCTTACTCTCTCTGAGACCCCAAGACGACAGATCCCTGAATGCGCTTTTAAGGTGAATTCCAGTCGCTGATGGCTGGAAATGAGGGCCAGGACCACCGGTCTGAGAGGGGCTTGCTCTGTTGAGTGCAAGGATAGAACTGTTTGGTCTACTTGGTAACGGATGTTCAGGTTTCTGGATGCATGCCGCAATGGTCCGGCAAGGGCGGAGCGAAGTAGCAGTGAATGGGGCATAAGCATGGTAAGCCTTGGCAAGCTGGGGCTGAGGACAGTGCAAACTTCATACAGCTGGCTGGCTTCCGGTGCGTCCAGTGGCTGCCTGCACAGGATCCTGGGCAGTCCTGCAGCCACCAAATCATCAACCTTCAATAATGTGCCCCGAAATCAGTGTTGCATCCTGTCCTTGCGAGACAGTGGCAACAAGCGGAACGCCTTCCTAGGAGAAGCATAAAGGAGTTTTGGCACCAATGCAGGGACCTCGAGGCTCCTGGAGCCTCTAATCACTAGTCCCCTCCCATGTCCAAAGCCTGAACAAACTGCGTTGAGCCGGATGTGCCTTGTAAATCATGACCGGCATAGCTCATACCGCGACAAACTAGACCAAGAAATTACTTCCCTGCGTTTGAGAGAAGTCTTGCTGTCACATGGGTGCTCTAGCTAACAGCAACCAGCGCCAGCCTGTTTCCAGCTTACAGGAGGTTTTGCTGTCCTGCGGCGCGGAAGAGAGCACCGAGGCCCTGCACAGCCTGCTCGAGGCCACAGCAAGCGAAGCAAGGGTCGAGCTGTCTCAAACAGTGGTTGCAGCTGGACGTTTAACTATTTGTCTATTGCATGTGTGTGTAGTATACTTACATCAAAGGGCTTGAGAGGAGTCGTCTCTCAGTTTAATGTGTCAGGAGGGGGCTTCAACATGCCAACACCAGGTACAGACACTTGTTCCAAGGTAGGCAAATCTTACCTCCGGTCAAGTCGACCGCCGCGTTCTGTAAGAGTTGAGATTTGCTTTGTGCAAGTAGCCCACGGACTGGCTACGGTATGCATGATGTTCGGCAGCTTTACAGTATTACCGTCAGCTCAGTACAGACAGGTGATTGTAAGTGTTCTGCATTTATAGGTCCAATGGCCTCAGTCAAGTCTATTCATGTCTATTCAGTATGCCTTCAGTCCTCAACTGAGAAGACTCATAAGTGAGAAGAGGCCAGGCCCAGGGGGTTGCGCGGCAGATTTACGCGTGCAGAAGCGGGCTGCCTTGAGAAATGTGTTAAAAGTACTGCGCCTGGCATGGAAGTTTCAAAGAGCATGCCAGCAACTTCTGTGGTTTTTGAGAGTCAAGTTGACGCGCAAGTTTTCAGGATTGTGTCGCACGCGCCACGGGCATTTTGAAGAAAACTACGTTTTTTGGAAGTGGAAATCTGCAGAAATTGTGCGTTTACGCGATTGCAGGAGATTTGTTTGCTTCTCTAGGCTCTAGGTGCGCGAAGTGCTGGGGCAGATAGGCTATATGAGGGTGCTCAGCAGAAAGTGTTGTAAACTTCAGTGCACGGAGCATCTGCTAGAATGAGTGCCGGCCTTGACACTCAGCTTTTTTGGAAGCAATTGCGAAGCTTGGAAGTGCATAGTGAAGCGCGACATGAATTGGACACCGCAATTTCCCAAAAGCGCTGCAATGGTTTTTTTTTTGCAAGGCCAGAGCTTCCAGAGCAGGCTTTTTAGACGCCCTGCGCGGGCTCAACAGCCCATTGCACTTGGTGCGATGGGTCTGCTGGGCGCTGAGCAACGCGGCAACCTGGGCACTAAAATGGGCGGCAAGAATATTTCGATGCTCAGTGGCATCCTTGGGACCCGCCCACTGTCCCAGCCTATGCAGCTGGCGCCCAGCGCCAGCCAGGCACTCGGCAATATTATCATGCTCTGGTCATTGGTCGGATGAGTTGGAACAAGAACGTTATTACGGACTGGGAATGGATGCAAAGGCTGCTTAGGTAGGCGTATGCACTGGAATCATTTGACCGCAATGTTGTTCTGGTTAGATGCTCTGGATAGCGGACACTGCAGGAACCCGGATTCTTCACCGGGAAACCTCCAGGGACTAGCATGAGAAGACTAGAGCGCGAAGACGCCAAGGAAGTGTGGTCATGTTTGCTAGGCCAGGCCGCGAAAATGGTCACGAGAGCAGTGGAAATGACACGAAAGCTGCTAATGGCAGGTCAAAAACGACAGAAGGCAAAGGCAGCAACGGAACTTCAAAGCATCCTACGGGTTTGCCAGCCATTATGATGACTACCATGATGAAGAACCGTGATGGCCACTTCCGTTCTTATTTCGGACAGGAAAAGTCGAGCCCGAGCATCTCAGCAGCTGCAATGCTGCACGGCGCAGCTTTTCGCCCTCTCTATGTATCCTTTCTTCCAGGCTGGGCGGTGCATAGCTGTCGACAAGCAATTAAGTGGCTGCTTTTGAAGAGTACAATCAGTGGGCGTCTCATAATGCAGCAGGAATGCTAGCCAGGCCCCCCGAGCCTTACCAAGCATAGCTTGCCAACTGCCGTCACCCTCAGCCAGCATAGTGCCAAGAACGTACGTGGCGCATATACCCGAGCTGAATTGCTGCTGCTTCTTGCTGCTGCCGCTGCTACCCTGCCACTGCAACCGGGACTGCCGCCGCGACCAGCAAAGCTTGACAGAGGTGATCTTTGCACGATGCCTTCGGTCCCTACCACGCCCATGAGCCTCGGACCGACGCCACGGAGCTCTGTGCCTGAGATGCCCTGGTTTTTGTATGTTGTGTGGCGGTTGGTGATGTTATTGCAGTCGCTATCAGCAGCTATCACTCGGTTTTTGCTAGTTCAGGGTTACGGCAGGTGTGCTAATTCGTGTGCTCACGAAATTGCCAGGCACTACCGTGCGCATTCCTATACTTTTCGGTGCAAGACAGCAATCATGTCGCAGCAAGCCACCTTGGCAAGCTTTAGGCGAGCAATGCAGGGCCTTTTTGCTGCGAAGTGCCATCTGAAAGCCAGCTGGACTACCTGGACAAGGACCTTTGGCTACTGACGTAGCTTACCTCCTTGGACTAATCCGAGATGCAAAGCCAAGATCTTGACTTGGCCTGCGAAGCTTCCTGAGTCAGCAAGGGTAAAAACCCAAGGGGAGCAACTATCGTGGGAGTCCGTCAGTCCTAAAAGGATCCCCGTCCTGTTATCCATACCGGGATCTTGAACATCTGGGGCGTGTGTTGGTGTGCTGGATCACTACCTGAGCATGGGCCCTTGCACTTTAGTCTGTCCTTCTGACTCTTTCGGTGCAATCCAGGCTCTCCAGAACATCCCGGGCAAGCACTTGCACAGCATGGCTGTGGGCTTCCCCGTCTTGCATGGTTACGAAGGCAGCTGGCGAAGGGGTTTGGCACCATTTGAGCTAGAGTCTAAACACCTAAAAAGGTGGTTATATAGGAGATTATATCGGGAAGTATCATAGAGCTTATTGAGGGGGGTACAAGGAGTTTAGACTATAGCTCATTTGAGCAACAGGCAATAGACTTCGTACAGCCATATAGTCCTGGACCCAGTTCGCATTTTGAGGTTTCACCTTTACCTTGCAAAACGATATGGTGACCGGCCAAAAGCGGTAGGTAGTCCTTC